AGCGCGTTAGAACTGCAGCGCACCGGTGCAATAAAACACTTAACTTGGCGATTGACATAAAACTGTGTACTTTGATGCAAAGCATTTATTCCCACTCCTGACTTCTTGTGCATAATTTTCATTCGTAGAGGGAGCGAACAATAACCCCCAATGGCTGTACCCGACGTTGCCAACCTCCAAGCCCGGTACGCGCAGGAACGCGACAAGCGACTGCGAGCCGATGGTTTCCAGCAGTACACGACTCTACACAGCGAAGCAGAAGCCCCGCTCGCGGATGATCCATGGGTTGACAAAGGGCAGCAACAGGACGCGGGTCCACTCAAGGATGGCGACAACATCCAGTTCCTCATCATCGGTGCCGGCCACGCGGGTCTGCTAGCTGCAGGACGATTGGTAGAAGCGGGCTTCTCGGCGGAGGGCATATACCTGGTAGACGTCGCGGGTGGCTTTGGTGGGACATGGTACTGGAACCGATACCCAGGTTTACAATGCGATGTAGAGAGCTACATCTACATGCCTTTCCTCGAGGAAACAGGCTACAAGCCCAAACACAAGTACGCGTCAGGCGATGAGATCCGTCAACACTGCGAACGTGTGGCATCGCACTTTGGACTGCGTGGGCAGTTCTCAACACGGGTGCTCGGCGCGACATGGGACGAAACGAAGCGGCGCTGGGTGGTCCGCATGCGTAGGGAGCACGGCAACGGCGAGGAGATGACCATCTTGACGCAGTTTGTCATGCCAGCTAGTACCATATTTACGGAGCCCAGGATGCCCAAGCTCGACGGCTTCGAGGAGTTGCGCACCAACATTCCCGTCTTCCACACCGCGCGATGGGACTTCAGCTGCACCGGTGGCTCGCCAACGGACCCTACACTTTCGAAACTTCAAGGCAAGCGCGTGGGCGTAATTGGCACGGGTGCGACTGCGGTGCAGGTGATACCACAGGTAGCGAAATGGGCCGGGCACACGTATGCCTTCCAGCGCACACCATCATACTGTGTGCCCCGCCGCCAACAGACCACGGATGAGAGCACATGGGCACAAAACGTGGCAACGGGACCTGGCTGGCAACGCGCTCGCCGACTCAACTTCGACACCTTTTTTGATGGGGAGAAGCATTCAGAGGACCACCCAGATCTTGTCGCCGATGGCTGGACGCAGTATGCGCGCGGATTTGCTGGCTTCATTGGAGGACCACGTTTCGTCACACCTCAGAATGTAGAAGAGCACGCACGCTCGCTCTACGAGATGGATGTGCCACTGGCAGAACAGGCAAGAGAGCATGTGCGAAACAGCGTCACGAAGGACCAAGCCACGGCAGAGCGGCTACAGCCGTGGTATCCCATGTGGTGCAAACGACCAACGTTCCAGGATGGGTACTTTGCCGCGTTCAACCAGCCCAATGTCACACTCGTAGATACTGATGGCAAAGGCGTGGAGCGGTGCACATCACGGGGCCTTGTCGCCAATGGAGTCGAGTATGAGCTGGACGTCCTGATTCTCGCCACAGGCTTCCTGTTGGCGACGGGTGCAAACGCTGCACCTGCGGAGCTCTTTGGCATACCCATCGTAGGCCGTAACGGCCGTCGTCTCAAAGACAAATATGGCTCCCCCGATTTCGCCACGATACATGGTATCGCTACGAACGGCTTCCCCAATTTGCTGTATCCCGGTCTCGGTGGTGGGCCAGGTTCGCCCAACCTCACCGCGGTCTTTGACCTCGAGTCCACACATATCGCCAGTATATTGAAGGAGGCTGCGCGACAGGCTTCGGATCCTACTCAGATGGTCATCGAACCAACTAAGGAGGCAGAGGACGCGTGGACGGACGACGTTGAGAGGCGGGCGCTGTGGTACTCTGTCGTGCTAGCGTGTACACCGGGCTACTTCAATCATGAAGGCGCCACGATGCGCATGGCTGGAGGCGACCCAGAACATCGGCGACAGGCCATGCGGAGGGTGCTTCATGGAGGAGGAATGGCCATGTACGAGCAGATGATTCGCGAGTACGATGCGAAGGGCGACATTGAGGGGTTCGTGGTATCGTGATTTGGCATTATCGCGGCATTTTAGATAGAGCCTGTAGCTTATTAGTATCTTGTGTAATTGTCGTATGCGCACCTTTGGCTCTCAATGTGTCCATGTGATGAGTAGGTACAGCCGCGGGGGTCGCGATCAATGGCGTTACATACACAGAGCGGCAACTTCATAAAGCCTGTGTGTCTCTTGAATATTACATTAGAGTATATAATGGCAAGAGCGCGTCGTTGGCTGAGCTTTGCTGCAGTGCCGGCATCGTCGCGTAAATAGTAATAGGACAGGAGTGAGTTGAGCAAGCCCGCGGCTCCTGGTCACTTCTTGGCACACCAACTGGGCACGAACCTGCCACTAACCTCAGCCATCGTCGAGGAACCTAAAACCACAACGGGCCTGTCGGATACAATTTGTCGAGATCGTTGGGCAACATCGACTGTTTCCATCGACTAGCCATTGATGGAAATGGTGAGTGGAGTCGTGGCGTGACATCGCCACAGCAGGAGAATCCGTGTCGCTTTGGCCGACAGCTGAGAAGTTTGCCTCGATGAAGGATTCGATGGACTACGAGGCTTGATACGTGTGCTTCTGAAAGCAGGCTACAGTAGGCGCACGCATATTCAGCATATGCGCTGTTCAAGTAGGACCCCATTGGGCGAGTCCTGGCCATACATACTCAACCCACTCCGATCAGCCTGCAACTTTAGAAGAATGTTGACTTGATAGGTGGGCAATTGCTTCGACGAACATTGAAGACAGCATTTGGTAGGTTTACAGTCCATGGTACACAGGTTGGGCGGACTTGGACTCCGCCTAAGTACAGAACTGACATCGATGCCCGGTCGTGTGAGCGGTCAGTTCTGGCATATCTTGAGCGAAAGAGGGTCCATTGTGGCTACTGTCGTGTCCAAGATGCCTGCTGCTAGCCAATCAGTACATAAAGCGATGGGTCAAGTTCATCATATGTAATGCTAAGGTCGTATTGACGCAGATTTGATTGCACAGCTGCAACATCGTGCATCGGATACTTTGTCATGCAGCGAATGACATGTTGTATTCTTCTCTTAGTCAGGGTGTGTACTGCTGGGATTGCGAACTGAGTTCAGTTGTTCCGAACGTTGTCGTTGAAATTCGTGAATGGTCTCGCCAAGCTACCAGCGGCGGTCGCTCCTACATCGAGCATCAATCTCCTTTGAGTTTCGTACCCTTCACACTCTGAGACACGACGCATGAACAGAGCTCACACAACCGCAAGTCCTTTGTCTTGACCAGTGACGGCACTTCTCTCTCGGCGTAGGTACCACGTCCATGCATTGCTTGTCGCTGCTTGAGTGCCCAGGTGGATAGGCGAGACGTTGAGGCGCACGATACCGCTCGTGGAGGAAAGAAGAAGAAGAAGCACATATTGGCTGAACACGACATGCAGCTAACGATACTGATGGTGTAGTAGACCCAGCTCGAAGGCGTCCGATCGGTGTTTCCCCTGGACCGTCACTAGTCAGCGTTAGCGCATGACGGGGAAGTATCGTGGCTTCCCCGAACTAGACCGTCTTCTCTCACAGCACTGCAGATATTCCCACTTCACATCTCTTTCTGCATCGCCCTCACACACCGCCAATATCACCGCGAGACGTTTTGACACGAAGCCATCGTAGATAAGGTGTTCATTATGCCTCTCCAATCGCTATACCGATGTCTGCAACATTGCGACAACAATCGACCATTTTTTGCTCGGCCTTGTCGAGCCTTCTATCCCATCACCCGTTGTAACGCCCATGCACTCGTTACCTCGTAAACCGATCGAGACGTATGTCAGACTCCAAACGCCTAACAAAGGGAACAGCCGACACGCCCCATCCGATGCTTTCGTTCAACCGTCGCGTCCACGATCCGACTATCGTACCGCATCACACCGTCGTACCCAATTACCCTGGACATGTCTCTCGGTCGAGACCGAATACAGAACGTCCATTCGCATCAGAAGAAGAAACATGATTGATACAACATACGTTAAAAGTTAATTTTGGGGGAGCGGTTGGCGAGAGGATGCGTGGTCTCCCAGAGACGCTTGATGTTGGTATACTCGCCAAATGCGTCCTAAGACAAGGAAAAGGGAAAGACTATTTCAAGGAACAACAACAAAGACAAAGAGAAGAAACGACCCAGGTGTGTGCGCAAGTGCGAGAGACGCGCAATGTGGACAGGAAGTCCAACCGGGGACACGACACGGACCGTGCACGATCATGGTGGCATTGGCAACTGTCTTCATCTGGATTGTGGACAGCACCAATGTCGGCCCCGCCTTTGCCAGCCAGGTATTGTCGAATTATAGGCCGCCTTGGAATAGCTCGGGGTGTCGGCGTCGCTGGTGCTTGAGCCTGGCATCGGACCTCTGGAACGTCTGGTCACAGACGTGGCAGGTTGACTCCCTGGATTGGCCGCGGTGCTTGTGCCGTTCGTGCCGGTCACGATTAGTCTTTCGCCAGCGCCCTGTGTATTCATTGGAGCAAAAAGAACACTGAATGACGTCTGGTGGTGTGGGGTTGGAGGAGATGGGTACTGCGCATACAGTTGGAGGTACTGCTCCGTGGCTGTTATTGCGAGTTGATCTACTAACATCAGTACTGACGTAAACTAGGGGCAGTAGACTAGCAAGACTCACGCCATGCGAGGGTGACTCCTTATTGCAAGACTTGTCTGTCGCGCGGGCTGTACTACTGCTCGATTCGGAGGCATATGAAACCTGACTTGATCTGCGAGGGGATGTGGGTATTGCGAGCCGTTCGAATAATCGACTGGAGCGTTTTGCGGACCGTTCTCTGGGCGAATAGTGGCTACGCTGGCTTCTCCCCAATCTTGATCGTCGACATCGTCAAACGAGATTGAGCTTGTATCGGATGCGTAGCCGCTGCTCCTTGCGATAGCTTGAACCCCAGCTGGATCAAGTACGTCCATCAAATGATTCACTTGTTGGTCCAGATGCTGCCGACGTTCGGCTTGTTGGTAGACTGTGGACCACCGCCCATCTGGCACTTGTCCGAATGCTGCCCTGTAAGGAGACATCGTATCGTCACCTTGAGTAAGCGCAGGATAGGTTTGCCTAATGTCATCTTGTAAGTTGTAGAGGGGCTGCGTGCCATACGACCCATGATTTGGTATAAACGCCAATCCCTGAGAGGGAAGTCCAATTGGCGCAGCATACTGAGTATGTGGGTTGTAGTCGCTAGGCCCGGCGTACATGGTCGATATCTGGTAGGGACTGCGACGCCAGCCTGGCTCGAACCACCGAGTGCAGTCCGTGTGTTGACCACCGGCAGCATCCCGGGAAGCAACATTCTGGCCGCTGGATCCGGATTGGAGGTTTCCCCAGGAAGCTGAAGATTCCGAGTAGTCGAGCTGACCAGCATAGAGACTGTTCTGGTAGCTTTCGACATCGCTGCGCTCAACATGCACGTAGCTGCTACCAGTTCCGGTCTGGCCCTGATCGGAGTTGGTGGTGTCACTCATGCTGTTGCTTCGGGGACGATCAGCGCTATCACCCGATGTTAGGTGTTGCGGGTACCTGTGTCCTCTTTCCGAATCAGAAAGATCTGGATACGCCATGACAGTGCCTAGGCCAAGCCTGGTTCGTGGCGATGACAGGCCAAAGACTCGTTTTCTCTGGATCGAGGGCGGCGCCTTAGATTTTCTGGTCGAAAGGTTGTCTTCTGAAAGGTCGTGTAGGCGGGCTGGTGATGGATGCACGCAGTTTGGAAAGAGATCGGATCCAGGAAACTGTTTTCAGCGATGAGGATGGCGGACCGAGATGGGTCTGGATGGAAAAAGGAGGGTGTTGTACAACTGTCGTCTGGCAAACACTAGTGGGTGCAGGGGTTGTCTGCTGGAGGACCTGGCTGCGGAAAATCTTCTTACTAGAAATCCGGTCGTCAGCCAAAACGACAATACCAGATCTCTGAGTCGAGGATATGTGATAGCCGAAGACGATGGGTGTGTCTTGCGCCAGGATGTAATGGTGGTGGTGGTGATGTCCACGGCGGCCAGGCATGCGACGACGAATCGCCGAAGGACAACAACACTCACAAGGAGGCGGTGCGCGGGAGGTCCCTCCAGCAATTCATCTGAAACGCATCTACACAAAGTTTCAACTGCTCCGCTCCGCCCTGCGCCAGCGACCTTGTCGATGCGACCCGATTGCGCCGCTCGACAGCACTGTTCCCGCCAAAGACAAGAGCTTTTTCCTTGCAATGGAGTCTTGGTCTGGATCGCACGTCGCAAGATTGTGACATCATTTCTGAACCGATCCATGAACTCCTTGAACGTGCGTCGGAGACAGCGAAACTCCGTTGGTTTTTCGACGAAGCGGTGAGTATCCGCTTCGGTCGGCTTCATGTGAGGTCCTCCCTTGGCGCGGTACGATAGGCTCCCTCACCCACTAGCTTAAGGGGTGGCAGCATCATCCGGAAGAAAAGAGAAGGTCAATACTGAGGTCTGGGTGTGAGGGTGACCATACCATCCAGCCAGCAGCAGTAGCACCAGGCTGCGTGGTAGTCCTATCTTGTGTCCGATTGTTGTTCTGTATAACGTGTTGTAGACGTTGCCCTTTTCGCTGAGCCGTCGTGATTGGACCTGCGACAGGCCTGCTCCATTGATCCTCGTCTCGACATTGGGATCGCGCTACGGGACGGATACACTGGAAATCGTGGCGGAGTGCAAGGCAGACTGTAGGCACCATCAGTATCACCTTCGTTAACATGGACAGCGTGAAGCCGTCTTATGAAGTTGCTTTAGGGGTACACTTGGTTGACTTACCATGGTGAGGGGCCAATACAGCCTTCCTAGGCTGAATTGGGTCCAAGGATAAACGTGCAGGATAGTAACGATCCAGAGCGCTCGATGCGCCACTGACATTCTGCGTGTAGTAGGAGTTCGTGAGTAACTCGAAAGCAGCATCAAGTTCTAAACTGTAGCAGAGACAGACTGCCTTTACATATCAATCAACCGCTGACCGAGAACTGGCCCCAATATCAAGGGTACCCCTTCGACGCCCCCACCACATGTCACTGGCATCTTGGAGCCTTCCTACATGAGGTCAGCCACCTTGAAGTGGAGGGGCGGGTCCGCGTTCAGTGATAGCTTCATGCGGCGGTTCTGCAACATCGACTAAAAACACTCGACGCGTCCTCATCTTCAAATGCTTGCGTCCCGAGCGGTATTGGACAGCCACACAGCTTAGTCCAGCTTACATCGATACCTGGCCAATCGTGCGATACTGTTGTGACAGCTATGGCATTCAGCCCCCAAACAACTTCGCAGCCTCTACGAAGTGGATGTGGGCTAACGGAGTTATGTAACAACTCGCGCGCGTGGATAGCGCCGTCTTTGCCTAAGCGCCGTTCATACCTCTGTAGAGTGCCAATATCCGGCCACTGTGTGGACATGCTAAGCCACTGTGCATATGTATGCCATCCCAGCGCAGCCCTCACGCCGAACGGTCGCCCACTGATCAAGAAGGTCATCTAGGCCGGCGCGACGGGCTAGACACACGATGGATCTCAGCACGGCTTGACATCGCCTGTTACCACAACTCCAGCTAGCCGGCACGGCAGCGATTACCGAGACATGTGTAGAAGGGACATATTACAAACTCTGAGTGCTGCCTAGGCAGGATACATCCGCCGGCTGGGATTGTCTATGCTGCAGAAGCCACCGAACTGATCGGTCGATACGAACACATGTTCCAACATTGGTCTAGGGGGCTCGCTCTTCTCAGCTAGCTCTAACGAACACCAATCAATACGACCAACAGTCAGTCAAAGTGCGGGCCGCACTCTTGGTGTATGCCGCGACTATGCCGCAATCTAAGTAGACAGAGGAAAGAAGAGGTATGGCTCGAGACCAGAAACGGCTTTGCGCTGCATGGAGATAGCCCTGGAGCGGATGAGCGGCTAGATGCCCAGGTGAGGCGTAGTTCTAGCCCCACTCATGCACGCCTATCTCTCGACACCATCATCCTTCCAAAGGATGGAGCCGATGCGTAAGAAGTGTGTCGTCTGAATTACGTATCCGTCACTAGGTGGTGCTGTTTGCAAATTTCTGCGATGTTGGTACATGCACGGGTCCGGGGGTCAGAGGTCAGTGTGTCGGCATTAGGCGCGCCGCCGGGGCTGGCCCCAACGCGACGGGAAGCTATTGCGAATGGCGTCTGCAATACCACTGACCCAGTGGGCTGGCGTCTCTCATCGCACTTGGTAATTGGGACGGGACAGTACGCGAATGCGACCGGGCTGGCGGTTCGTTCTTCAAGGATCGATAGCCTGCTTATGGCCCATAAGTTTGAAGGAAGATTCCACTGCGCCGCTGTCTTTGGGGGCTTCGCGCTCGAGTCTGAAGTGTGTTCGCGAGTGACTTTGGGTATATATATTGGGTACTGCGCCGCTGTGATTCGAATAGGAGTTACACCCCTGCTCGTGATTATGTGGTGTGCCAAACTCAACAACGCTATTTCGTGACCCCGAATTGCGTAGGCACCAGCGAAGACTCAAGATCAGGTTGAGAACTCTCACCGCCGGTCACATCCTCTCCGAATGACTTGACGACATCAGCTTGAACGGTTGCGGTTACTTCCCAAGACTAGGGAGATAAAATTCCGTGAACAAAGAGTGAGCTGTCAAAGATCGCTGCAGACGTCAGGAGTCCTTGCGCAAGGAGCAACCCTCCGCAGCCACAGAGAATCTACGCGGAGCGGTGATAGTTGCCGCGGGCCGCTCGATCTATTCACCTCGCAACTGCCGTACTCGGGACTGACTGCAATTGGAATGATAGCGTTGCGTTCGAATTGTGAGCCCAAGGGCTTGCTCGATTCAAAGCGAACTGCATATGCCACGAGTGCCGTACTCGGCACTGGCTGCGCGATTGAAATGGTGGCGCTGTGTACGAGTCGTGGGGACGAAGGGCTTGCTTGATTGACAGCGAACTGCATGTGCCTGAACGAGAGGATCTAGAAAAGTATCAAATCACAGTGTGAAGATGTTTTCTGCACTCCGCGGACGGAGAGGGGCGAACCTATGGCGAGTCATAGACGGTGTCGATGCGATGTGATTTGGAAAGCGCTTCCATAAGCGAACATTTACAACCCCGAGTCCAGTACGTGATACTTCTGCTATCATCGTCATGTCTTCCCATCAAGGCGTCTGGAAATGGGTTTACTGGGCGGCGAAGTATCGGCTGTGCTGACCACCATCGACTATACGCCCGTCGGGCAGTAAGCACAGTCATGAAGGCCACAATACCATGAGTGAATGTGATAGGATCGTCTCTAGATATTTATGTAGTTCTGATTTGCTCCGCCTCATCCAGACACAACGATCTTACTCACTCTGGACCGGAGAGTCAGAATTAGGCAAGACTGACCACGATGCCCGATTTCTGTGATGCAGCCGTCTGCTATCTAGAGCCAATATGTGTAGATGTCGTTGATTGATCGCCTTGCATTGGAGGCAGTGAGTGGAGTCGCTTGTGACAAGGGATGTTCCTTCGTCATGGCGCATTGAATCCAGTGTCGAGACTATCGACCTCTGTCGAACTTACGCCCGGTCGAGGCGTGCCGCACTCTTGCAGATTGATGTAACTTCCTGTCATCTGCAAGACTAGTGATTAGGGAACGGGGCCGAGAAAGGGTATGATCAGACAAAGCGCATGCGGTCGTCTTCGCGGCCTGAAAACGGATGTGTAGTTATAGTCCATGCTTACCCCGATCTGAGACAGCTAATCCCTTACTTCTCCTGCATTGATCGGTCTCACAGCTTCTCCACATATCTGACTTGCTTGACATCTTTGCCAGCGATTCCAACGTAACGTAATACGGTACGATTGAGAGCACTCAGGGGTACGTTCAGCCCAATTCTAGCTGTTGTTCGTTCGGTCGAAATATTCGACTCATTTCACCCGTAATACGGTTGCTCGGGCCCTGACTGCTTCCTGTACGTCGTACTGCCTGATTAGGACTAGTGCGCTACCAAGGAGTGAATGTTCAGGTACCTCTACGCTCTGTACCCACCGCCAACGCCCTCTACAGCCACCCCTGACAACTTACACTCTCTACACTCGCCCCTGACAGCTCTGACAGCTTGCCTAGGCGCAAACATGAAATGCTTCCAACGTTCCGGACCACGGCCCATGAGTGCCAACGATAATCAGCACTGCGACGAAAACAACGAGCGGCGTGCTTATAATGATCGAATCAGTCGTATGCGGAAGATTGAGTACCCAATGCTTGAAGGTATGCTTAGTCGTGATCAATCTTTCACGTGTCACTGACGGTACGTAGATCTGACGTACCTCGATCATGGCGGCACGACGCTCGCATCCAAGTCTTTACTCAAGTCCTTCTGCGATGAGATGCAAAGCACTCTCCTCGCCAATCCTCACTCTGATTCATCCAACCCGAGTGTGACTGCCGTCATGGTAGAGCAAACTCGGCTTGCTGTCTTGAAGATGTTCAACGCTGA